TCTGATTAGAATCCTGACACCAAATGCTAGTTTTTTGCGCAAATGAATAACATGATTAGAGTATTTTAGGTTGCTGTCGAGAACGATTCCTAAGAAAGAGCATTCATTGTCAGGGTTAATGAGTGAGCCATTTAGTTTAATAGAAATTTGGGAGGGAAGAGCTTTGTTAGCTGAGTGGAATATCATGAACTTAGTTTTCTTAGGGTTAATACTGAGGGAATTCGTGAGACACCAGCTTAAGGTGTTATTTAGATCTTTTTGTAATTTTAGCGTTAAAGAGTCAATTGATTTACCAGTGGCAAGTATTGTAGTGTCATCGGCATAAAGAAAAGGCAGAGAGTTAGTAACTGAAAGGGGAAGGTCATTCATGTAAATTAAAAGTAAAAGTGGGCCAAGAATGGACCCTTGAGGAACACCCTGATTAGTAGTAAGAAAATTTGATAAAGTAGAGCGAACATAAACAGCCTGCTGTCTATTACAGAGGGAACTTTTAATGAGTGTAAGGGCAGGTCCAACAATACCAATGGCCGTGAGTTTGGTTTCCAGGATGCTGTGATTAAGTTAGTCGAAAGCTTTGGTTAGGTCAATGAACAATGCTCCAGCTAATTCACCAGAATCAATAGCTTTTTTAATCTTATCAGTGAAAGTTAACAATGCAAGATTAGTCGAGAAAGCATGTCCAAAACCAAACTGACTAGGAGTTAAAATGGAAAACTTAGGCAAGTAATTAGTTATACGTTTCTCAATACACTTTTCTATTATTTTACTAAAAGATGATAGGATAGCTATGGGGCGATAATTAGATATGAAAGTTCTCTCGCCTTTTTTGAACACTGGTATCATTTTGGCCTGTTTTAGTTGAGATGGGAATGAACCTGTCTTGAATATTAGATTGATAATGTGGGATAGAGGGACGGCAATATGGTTGGCAATTAGCTTAATGTAGGACGAGTGAATTCCGTCCAGTCCAGGAGAAGTTACTTTAGGATTATGAATAATGCTGATAATTTCGTTAGGGTCTGTTGGGAAGAGGTAGAAAGATTGTGAAGAGCGGACCTGAGATCTATTGGACGATGGGGGTGTACTAGAAGCTTGTTTACCGTAAAATGAGTTGAATTCATTCGCAATGTCAATTGGCTGATCTAAGATACGGTCAGCAATTTGAAGCTCAGTGATGCAGTCTTTATCGAGTGGCGGCCAAGATATGATAACTGCACCTGAATCGTCAAAGCATTTTTAATGCATGTGCTCTCGTGGTGTGAAGGGCTAGTATTTCATGGTTTTAGACGGGTATTTCGAATTGACATAGAGTTGGTCGCTCAAATGATTCTAACAATAATAATGCGACATGTAAGTTTCCCACTCATCACTCATGCGATTTTGGGTTACCAGATTAACAGCTGCAAATCACAGTAAAGAACCTGAAATAAAAAGTTCGCTGTAAGGGGTTGTAATGGTGGTCTAGTGTCCAGCTTTTAGGGGAAAAAAGTTCAAAATTACCAAGGTTGATCTAATGGGACACTTGTCAATTTGTAGAGAGCAAGATTAACAGTTTGATCGGAAGGTGCCCTGTACAGTGCCAAGTTAATGCTAGCATTAGATTTCGGACATCATTAGATGTACTACAAGCCATCTAGATCAGAACATACGTGAGCAAGCTTACGTAGGACAGATATCTGAATACGAAAAATAGAAAAAACATTGTCAATCAACTTATAATAATTGGCAGGTGGGTACAGCGTCACTTCGAAAAGTTTCTGCCACTACTAGAATTTCTGAGTGACTAAGCAGCTGGCGCACAGTGTAATGGGTTTTTGGACACATGGCAAATAAGGTTAACTGAATTTTTTTTCGGACATTCTTAGCACCTTAGTGCCATTTAGCTCCACTCAGTTATTTCGAAAGGCATCTCGATAAGTTACGAGAATTCTCCATTCTTTACCCCAATTAGTGTGCATTGCATCTTCCAAAGCATTCACGTAATAACCTCATTGTAGTAACCTCACCGTGACCTGACTCAACTTCATCGTAAATGCACTTGGCTTAGACATTTGCTTATTGAGATTACCTTAGAAGCACTGTACTTCAGTTCAGAGCGTCCCCGCTTCTCTCGCACTCGCGCTAATCTTCTTTCTCGGTTACTTGACGCCGCCGAGAAGGTGCAAATAGTCAAATTTCAGGCCACGCAAATTGTGAAGCGCACTTCAATACAGCAAAATTTCTGTATTGACCTGATCGCAAGAACACATCCTAATTGTAACCTTAATCTTTCAGGAACTAATCAGGCCGTAGGCTCCGCGGGACTTCCATGATCTTAGCAAGCTTCTATAGCTGGCACAACACACTGTCAGAATGTACGCGCGTGACGCCTCGTTCTTTCATTGCCGTGATTGATTTGGTGCCAGCAAATGAAAAGATCATAGCTCGTTCCTTTGGAATTACCAGTAACTGAATTGCACTGGCTGTTAGCCTTCGTGCAAAAAAATTTGGATTTTGTCAACGCAGAAAGTTCGCTTGTATATGTTTCAATGCAAGTCACAAGCCCACAGTATATGACTTCGAGCTCAGTCCTCACTGTTTATATTTCTTGCAACTTAAGTGGAGCTTTCCGTATCATTTATCGCACAGGAAGCTTCACTGATCGTGCAAGGCACTGCTACCATTAATTCCAGAAAGCATCATTTGGCGGAATAAACTTGCACAAAATGCAATAACCAACCACTTGCAAATAGCATCTCTAGCAAATCAACAGCTTTTGCAAGTACCTAACATACTATGGCATATTAACACAAGAAACTTTGTTGAAACAAGAATATGAAAGGTTTGTGGCCAGGCGGTGTATATATTGTCACGTGCTTGTCAAAAAGAAAGACAATGGCAGTTGTGCATGTGCCATGAAGGACAATGAATTGAATGAAAAAGAAGAACTCTTGTGCGTTCTATTAAAAAAACTGACCTGCTTCTGGTGTCTCAATCTCTGCACCAAGACCTCTGTTTGACGTCGTGGCACTGGTGGAGGTGCTGGAGCCTACAACCTGACGTAGGACAGTTTTGCTCGGACCCGTTCACCCAGTCCAGAGACTCAGCCCCTCGTTACGACTCCAGTGTACCGATTCAGTCGGCGCCTACTAGGCCTAAGTCCGGAGTCCACACCTGTGCCGCCTTTTTCCAGCATGGAAGCTCCTACGACATCCACGTTTATCCTGTCATCGCAGACTACTCTTCCCTCACAGGTGACTCTTGAACATTCTCGCGTTCCTGAAGTTTTCCGTGGGGAAGAGTACGAGCATGTCGAGGACTGGCTCGAGCAGTTCAAACAGGTCGCTGTATCCAACCACTGGAGCCAAGAGCAGGAACTTCGCCATGCATATTTCGCACTGGAAAATAACGCTCGCACGTGGTATGAGAACCGTGAGGCTACATTCCAATTTTGCGAAGATTTCCGTCGAAAGCCCTTGCTACATTTTTGAACTCGGACGGATGGGATCGCGCACAGCAACTGATTGAGGCCCGCGTGCAAAAACCCAATGAAAGAGCCGCCATGTACGCAGAGGGTATGATCCGTCTGTTTCTACAAGCTGACCCTGACATGCCTGAGGCGAAGAAGGTGCGTCACCTAATGCAGGGTGTTAAGGAACCAGTGTTTGCGGGCCTCGTAGGAAATCCACCTTCAACAGTAGATTAATTCAAAAGAGAGGTGGCTGTCAGTGAGCGCGCACTGCAACAACGATACCGACACTTTGACCGCCTGCCAAACCCCACGGAAGTAAGTGCTGCAGCTCAGAACACTGCCGTCTGCGATAGTTTCGTGCGACAAATGATTAGGGAAATACTGCGTGAGGAACGTCGGGCCCTCTGCATTCCCCCTATCCAACCACCAGTCGCATCTGTTGCCGAAATCGTCCGCCAGGAGTTGAGGCAAGCCATTACACTACCCGCGCCAAGTCCTGAGCCACATCCAGCGAGCTACGCTGATGTGGTCTGTCGCCCTCCACCGACATTTGTGGCGACGCCCTTCCAGCCACGACCCGCTGCCATACATTGGTGACAACGGGATTCTACGAGACGACTATCAGTTCGCCGAACTGACGTGGCGCATGGCCGACGGTCGACCTATCTGCTTCCGCTGCGGAGAACCCGGTCACATTGCCCGCTATCGCCGTCCTGGTGATTCCGGGTTCGGGAACTTTTCTCGTCCCGCTTTTTTCCGCTCCGAAGACCGTCGTTCCCACGATGCCGATCAACTGTCGCTGGCCAAGCAACCCCACCGCGTCGCTGGCAATCTCCATCACCAGTGCGTCACTGTGACTTCCCTCAGAGCTACGCGGACGTCACCAGAGGCCGTTCGCCTAGCCCGCGCCGGGAAACTACTGCTGCGACCTCAGGGGGCAAGGTTGCCAATCTTCGAGACACTGAAAAGTTCCCCTTATCAATGCAAGAAGGTATGACGACAACAACGACGAATACGATGACGAAAACTAATGCCGATGAAGTTGTACGTGCCGATCTTAGCGTTCTCATTGTTGGCCATCACGTTAATGCACTGGTCGACAGTGGCGCCGACTTCTCAATCGTGCGACAAGAGCTCACCGACCACCTTAGAATGGTCAAGACAGCGTCATGACAATGTTTCATTTCTGTGGGCTCCCTTTGTATATCAACTCCATAGTAACATGCTACCTGGAGCCTTTCATTGTGAGTAGGTGCTAAATAAGTGGGCGAGACATCATTAAAGTTCAGACCGGGCCTAATTCAAGTTCAGACCGGACCTTATCGTCAGATAATTGTTGGTACAAAACAAACTAGCCCACCGAAAAGCATTAGCAATGCAGTACCATTTTTGTGTACGAAAAACTTGTGTGGAATAGAATGCCTTTCACTGTGTAATGCGGACGTACGAGAACTCTACTGTAAGCACACAATTTATAAGCAGATTATAGCACACATAAAAGTAAAGTTGGAGCTAGGCAAAAAGATAACGTTATAGTTACCACTTCTGAGCAGATTGTGCCGTCTCGTACGTGCATCACGTGTTGCGGTCGCCCCTTCGTAACGTACCGGCACGATTTCACAACTTTTCCAGTGTTCACTGAATGTTTCTGAAATTTTCGAGACATAAGAACATACTATCAATGCACGAATACCACCGTAGGTAAATTATCTTAGGATAGTCGATATATCGCCATGAAACCCAGAATTGTATATTACATCCAACATATTCGACAAATACAAAGATTGCGCAATGGCTTTCGAAGTGCTTCCCTCCTCCTTGGCGGTTATTGCTTAGGTGCCACTGAGAGCCGCACCGTGATTTCGCGAATTATTTTGAAGTCACTGCGTTTCTTGCCTTTTCTTGATAGTAAAAAATGGAGACTTTGGGCACAAGCCACGTTTATAGCAGTCATCAAGGAAGCTGGTCACTTTCTATACCAATTCTCGAGTGTGCTACATTGGCTTAAGCAGTAATTTCAGCATGAAAAAATAGAGAGTACAAAAATAGACATTCTTGGGTACTCCGTACCTTCTGTACGTAAAAAAATCCCCCCTCGAATCCAAATGTTAGGTATATTGGACAACATGCTACAACCAAGCAACGTGAAATACAAGAAAACTGACACTCTCCACCTTTGCACTTAGAAAAACTGCTTGTGCGAGTTAAAAAAAATATTTATACTATAAGTTTTTGCACGGTATCAGGAGAATACGTCAAATTGCGGTGCTGCTTGGGGTAGTGCTGACGGCAAGATTAACCAGTAAGACAGCGGCAGCCAATTCTTCCGCTGTAGCACCAACTTCCACGTCACCCACAATGATACGACTCGAACAATGAAGCATTGCTTGGAAATCGAAATGATTGAACAATAATTGCTTGCGCATCATTCGCTGCCCTATTTGTATACTAGTTGGTGTGGTCACATGGTGATCTCTAGAAAATCCCATGCAACGTCGAAATGATATCCAAAACTCTTGAGCTGAACTTGAAGTGCGAAGCATTTATTCGCGAAGTGCAGGGACTTGTGCCTGCAGAAGTGCCTGCAGTCTGCTAAGGAATGCTTCTCATTTGGTATTTTCAGGCACTGGCAGTGCTGGGACGGACACCACTATTCTTGCTTTCACTGTAAAGTTCTATTTTCGGGAAGGCAACATTTTTTAATATCCCCGCGCATTTCGGCAAATCATATATTCACAAAGGTGGCTAACTTACCATACGAATGTTCACCGACCGACGCAGGATCAGCTGATCCAATGTCCTACTGCAGCCTGTTGTTGAAGAAACAAGAGAGTGTACAGTGCTTGTTCAACTGTGTGGGCCATATTGAATACTTATAATGTAAAACCAGGTGAATGTGTCGCAAGGGCAACTCAAGAAAGCGTCCAAGAAAGTGTTCATTAAACCTTTACCAAGTCATTCCCAGTATAAGTACTCTGAATTCCACATTACGGGCTAGAAAAACAAAGGGCTTGCTATCTTCGCTCATTCCGTATGTTTTGCATATTCATTAGCGCCAGCTCATTTCGGTCAGATGAATATGTGTCCTACACTGTCTGTATTTACGTATGAGGAGCAAAGCTTGCAGAAGAATAGAGCCTTCCAGCAAGTTAAATAAGGCACGCTGAAGTATACGGTAAGGTCTTAATGTAGCGCTTTCTCAGTGGTTGTGCTTAAGCCGCTTCCAGTTCCAGTAACATTCCTTCTTTCCAATGACATATTCCTTGTTAACAATGCACAGACTAAAAGGCAGCAATAACGCATGACCACCATATGATATGTTTTCAAAACATTTGTTGAGTTTGGTTGTATTGACTGCAATTAAAAGTGGCAAACCTACTACGAGTGAGAAAGGAGGAGTGCTACGGTATCTGAGGACTGCATTTCGTTAACCTTCTGTAACACACCAGTGCCATTAGGGCTACAGATTTTCTAAATATAGCTAAAAGTAATAAAACATGTAATTCTTAACGCTTACGATATTTATCACTTCTGTGTAAGCTGCAGCAAGGCAACAACACAAAGGAATACAAATGTCGCGGATCTAGCTCAGTGTGGCGCGCTAGTAGTCACAAAGTTGCGCATTGTTACATACAAAAGACTGCATCTATACAAATGTGTTTCCTCCAAGCTTTCCGATTACCATTCGTTATATACATATTTTATTTTTCTTTTATGGAATTGGTTAATAAACAGATGTTAAGCAGAAACGGGAGAACGAAATGTTCAAAACTGTTTCACTGTCTGCAGCATACCCCATAAGGTTAGCCTGCCTTGGCACGTAAACCTGAAAACCTTTATTTAGGGGTGAAGCTCTTTAACGCGTGGGTCTGTCCATTCCTTGTATGTAGTAGTACGTAGCCACCGGTGGCACATACCTGCTCTAGAGTGGATATGTGCCACAGGGAATGCGAGATGTTGGTACTTGGAGTGTTCACTAGATAGACGCGCGGACGGACTGACAGACAGACTAGTGGATGGATGGACGAACGGATAGACGCACGAATAGACAGACAGACAGATGAATGGACGGACTCACAGACGGACGCATGGAGAGATGGGTGGACGCACGGATAGGCGCACAGATGGTCGCGTGGACAGATGGAAGCAAAAACGACCGGACGGACGGAAGCACGGACGGGCTCACGGACGCTTTGCCCCACTCATCACCATTCACTCCGTGGATATATGCTGTGATTTTTTATGTATCTGCTTGATCGCTTGCACCTGCGAGGTGTACTACAAAGCGAAAATTTAAACATGATCTAATCAAGCAGTCGGTGCAATCGCCTGACTACTCAAGTCACGCGCAGCGGTGAAGCCAGAAATCTATGTGTTCTACCCTATCTGCAATGAAGAGCACGTTGGGCACTTACCCACGGAATTTGTGACCACCAAGATGACCAGTGTCAGGAAGGTGCAGGTGACTTTGACTCGGTCCATGCTTCCATTCAAGAGACGTAAGCTGTTTCACTCCTAGTGCTGCAAGAAGGCGGCGGGATGTGCGTGCCATCTATAGGAAAGAAGCAGCTTCGACGCCTCAAAGTGACTGACGTCGTACGTCGTTATGATAGACTTCTCCAGGAAAGCGTTATCGTCGCCCACATTCCTCAGCGGCGCCCTATCGGTGACACATAGCTTTTCTGGCGTCATTATATGCAAACAAAATAAATGCCGTCTGCATGCTTTTCTTCTGTGTTAGTGCGTGTCTCTGAGCACATGCAATTTGACGGCACTTTGATACAAAAATGCCGTAATCAGTGACGGTTATACATGTGCTTGCCATGGGCTACAGGGCTGTCTACACCACTGCTGCACGTGCGAGGGAGTGCACACAATGTGTTTTATTTCTCTCAGTCTCTCTGTACCAGTAGTGCAGACAGCCCTGCTGCACAAAGTTCCAACGATACGTCAGGGTGCTGTAGAGCTTGCATACTTCAAAATGGGCCCGCCAAGCAAGCTCACATCGTGAAGCGATCTCAACAATCTCAGCCGTTACAGCAAAGAAACAAGACTTTCGACCACTCATGAGCAGCTTACGTGCATCTCGCTTCTTGTCCTTTTCTGTGACGAGTGTCAGCTGAGAAGCCAACCACTTGCTGTGCGGTGAAGTGGCAACAATGGAATGCAGGGTGTGTTCTGACGGCAAACTTCAAATATTATTGCGGCTCCGCAAAATTGTCCATCGAATGCCGCATCATGAGAAGTTTTCCTTAGAACACATCAGTACGAACGTTAGGTAAAATATGAGAAAATTGGATAATTTTGCTGTTTCAAAATTTTTTTCGGGAAGATTTTAAGATAATTTCGCCCATAAACATTTTTTACGAAATTAAACTTTCTTGAAAACCACAATATTAATAATAATCCTTAGACAGAGTACCGCATAGCATAGAAAACAAGTTACAGCTTTGCCGCAAAGGCTAAGGAATGAACGCGGCAGCAACAAATTGGGAGGTCATGCACAGAATTAAAGTCAAGCCGAATGAAAATGCGAACAGGCGTCTCAGTTGTTACTTCGTTGTTTCCGAAAAGCAAGCCATTTTCGCAAACGGAGGCTATGAAACGATTTCAGTGAACTTTGTGAGCCCGGAACCTACAACATAAACTTTCCGATAGAACTCAAAGGCTAGCCAACACGTACGATTCTCCCTACTGCAAGATAAGACAGTGCGATCGAGCGTACACCACCTTATTCTCTAGGTTAACCAAAGTATACGCGTGAGAGATGAGAGCCGACGCGCGCTCACTGCGCCATCTTTCTGATAATGTTGAAAACACGATAGCTACCCCGCGAGAAGTGCGCCAACAGCGCAAAGTGATAGATATTAGCAGCTTGCCATTTGGACGCTCATGGAGGTACATCTCGGTAGCTCAGTGGTTAGCGCCTATCATTCAACGACGTAGAGGTCCCACTTTCGATTCTGCGCGCCGGAGTCTTTTTTTCAGAGATTTCTTCTTTCTTTCATCCGTTTTCATATTTATTTATATATATATATATATATATATATATATATATATATATATATATTTATATATTTATATATATACACAGCGCGAGTCATCAACGCCGGTGTCGACGCTGACGCCGGCGGTGAAATCCAGTCAAGAGTGTCCATATAATTGCTATTGCCATACAATGGCAAACTTCGAACATTTTCGTAGTTTTTGATAAGGCCTAGCAGCAAGATAAACGCAAAAATTTTGCAACGGTCTAGTAGCACAACTAAAGAAAACCTTTTTAGTAGCTGAAGAACAGTTTTGCAGTTCAGCAAAATAATATAAATTTTATATACATTTTTCTATTGTGCACCCTTTGTAAAAGCAAGCTAACTTTCAGGCGGGGCTTTGGACTTGGAGAACTTCTAAGAGTAAAAATATAAAATATTTTTGCCGCAATACTCCACGTGGTATGTCTAGACATTAGCATGGTATGAGACCCATATATATATATATATATATATATATATATATATATATATATATATATATATATATATATGTATATATATATATATATAAGGGCTCGTTTTTTCGTGTTTTTACAGAGTAATATTGAGATCTAACTGACGATAAGGCCAAGGAATATATCAGGGAAGTTATTAAACCCAATGTAATGTAAATAAGAAGAAAGAAAAGTGGGTGAAAAAATAACTTGCCGTGAGCACGAATCGGACCTACGACCTTCGATTAACGCGTTCGATGCTCTAACCACTGAGCTATCACGGCGGCTGTCCCCCTAGCCACTTTATTGCGTTTATATGTGAATTTAAACGTGGGAGCGTCAGTCAACGCCATCTGTAGCCAAGGCTGCGAGTGTGGAACACCCTTTTATGCGTCTATGTGGTGTCATGTAGCACGTGAACTTATTACGAGCGGGCAGCTCACCAATAATCCCCCGCATACAACCTAAAGGCACCAAGTCTGCCAGTACGAGACACTCGTTAATAAATAAAGGAAAGAAGTATGTACCTAAGGGCTCGTTTTTTAGGGTTTTGACACAATAATAATCAGATCTAACAGACAATAATACCAAGGAATGTATCGGGGAAGTTATTAGAACCAGTGTAATGTAAGTAGGCAGAAAGAAAAGGAGCGAAAAAATAACTTAGGAATCGTTGATTCAATTCCTGCTCACGGCAAGTAATTTTTTGACCTACTTTTCTGTCTTCTCATTTACACTAGATTGGTTCTAGTAACTTCCCCGATACATTCCTTGCCATTATTGGCTGTTAGATCTCATTTAATTTATATATATATATATATATATATATATATATATATATATATATATATATATATATATATATATATATATATATATATATATATATATATATGTGTGTGTGTGTGTGTGTGAAGACGTTTCTCCAATATGTCAAACGCACTTGGGAAGAGAAGATATAGAACTCAGCGGTTTGCCTTAGTTTTATTTCCAACGGCTTTGTCCAGTGGACCAGTCTTCATCAGGTTTTGTGAATAAGTGCGACGCTATACGCTATGCGAACATGCCGCATCGGCATGGTGGAGCAAGAAAGAAGTCAGAGAGAGCGACAAATTATAATGGTTTTACAGTGGTGACATACGCTGTGCCAAACAGTTCTCGGTTCATTGACTGGAGCTAGGAAAAAAGAGAAGGGTGAAAGAGGTCCCATTTAGAGTTGGGCACGTGTCGTACGTTTGGGCAAACCATAAAGAATAGAGACAACAGAAGCCAAATAAACCAACTAAAAATTTCAAGGAGTGGCGAAAAAAGAAAGAAAGAAGAAAAAGAAGGAAAGAAGGAGAGAGAAAGGAAGAAGAGGGGTATAGGGTGGCTTATGCGACGCACCGTTGAAGGTCGTGGAGGGACATTGTTGGTGAGCTTTGGTGGCAGGCAATTACTTGTAGCGAAAGGGCCGAGCTCCCTATGCGGCTCCTTCTGTGGTCATTCAGGACAAAAGGAAAACAGGTGTTTCGCAGAGACCGTACTGACACGTTTCATATGTGTGTGTGTGGGGGGGGGGGGTAGATTTCGGGGCGAAAATGGTGAAAACAAACAAGGCCGTTTGAAAGGTACAGGCTATATTTTGGGCACAGCATGCATGTATCCAGCCCTTTTGTACAACTGCCCGAAGCGCTTGTGATTGAAACAGGCTGGCACTGATTGGGTTCTCCCAATTACAAGTAATAAAGCACACAGAAGTAAACGGAATGACTGAAAATGAAGAGGAATGTGACATGTGAAAAGGTAACAGATAAAAAAAGACATAGAGGAACCGGTGATACTGTGTGAATGAATGAATGCAAATCTTTATTACAAATATTTTTTCCTGTGAACGTGGAGCCGTCAGTCCAGGTTCGCTGTGGCCTTTGTCATCTTGCAAGCTCTGTCGATCAGCTTGAGCTGTTCTTCAGGCTAAGAGCAAGACAGCGCAGCCTCCCACTGCTCCAGTGTTGGTGTACAGTTTCTTGGCACTACCAGTGTGTGTTGGCAGGCCCTTGTCACGTGGTAAAGTGTGGGGTGTTCTCTGCATAGCGGGAATTTGTTGGCGTATATTCCCGGATAGATTTCACTCCGAAGACTGAGATTGGGCTACGTATTAGTCTGCAGCTGTCTGCACGCAACCGACTGCTCTCTACTGATGTCTTCGTGGGGAGGGGGTATATCCTTCTCAAAGCTCTCTGGTGTTCTAAAATTGCTCCATAGCGTCTAGTAACTGTGACTGGTTCCTCGTCGTTGTGTGCCCCCCGGTGGGCGTATTCTAAGGCAATGACGTCAGCACGCTTGTTCCCTCTCACAGTTTCATGGCCTGGTGGCCACGTAATGGAGCATTCAAGAAGTTGATTTTAAATGCGAAGCATTTCTTAGCGAACTTCGGCGACTTTCAGCATATCTGTCTATCTATGTAGCCGCCTACGACTTTTAGCTCTCCTGGCTATTTCAATAATGGTATTAATGGCATAATATGAATATATGAAGAACATAACTGACTAGTCATAACATGAAAATCATGACATGTATGTCATGAATGTCATAATTTACAATTCATGGTCCTGCATCTCCTGCAGTTGTTTCGTTCAGAAGGCATGTTGCAAAGCTGGTATGGTATGACTTGATTGCATGCCGAACACAAGCGACCGACCGTAACATGAAAATCACGAAATGCGTGTCATGTAACAACATAACTACATGCCACGTTCATGATGCGCTCGCGGCCGTTTCGCTAGCATCCCACATACCAAATTTGGTTTTACGTTACGTGAATCAATGACGAGGGTATGTGACCTATGCAAACTTGATAATCATGAGATGTGTGTCATGTAACAACATGACTACATGTCACGATCATGATGCGCTGGCGGCTGTTTCGCTAGCGTCACATATACCAAGTTTGGTATTACGTTACGTGAAAGGAGAACGAGGGTATGTGACAGTTGCAAACTGGATAACCGCGTCATGTAACAACGAGACTACATGTCATGATCATGAAGCGCTGGCGGTGGTTTCACCAGCTTCGCTTGTACCAAATTTTGTAATACGGT